CTGCGTTCAATCCCTGGGTCAGGGAAATAGGATCCCACAAGCTGCAGTGTAGCCAAAAACAAACTATGAGATGTTCTTTATTCATTGTCCACCCAGTAGCAATTCCTTCTTCCAAAGAAAATGACTTTTTTTTTTTTAGTTCTACCAGTTTATTGCTACCAACCCATCTCCCTCCACCCTCGTGCACACATGCTCAGTCATGTAATCCCATAAACTTCAGCCTGCCAGACTCCTCTGTCCATGGATTTTTCCAGGCAAGAATACTGGAGTGGGTTGCCATTTCCTTCTCCAGGGAAAATGACATTTTACTCTAGAATCTACCCATCTTCCATACTCAGTTCCAGGGTAGTACTAAATGGCCTGAAGATAATCCCATCGTCTTTGCTTGTGATTGGTTCAGAAATGACCAGGTGATACATTTTGGACCACCAAGATAAGAGGAAAGAATAGCTAGAGACTTCTGGGAATGATTGACCTTATTTTTCTAGGAGAGGTCCCAAGGCGATCTCCTTTTTTCTCTGAAAGTGCTTCTATAAACATAAAAGCCTTACTAATGATTTTATGCCTTAAGCTAACGTTGAATGTCAGAATGGCCCCCAGAAAGAACCTGGGCCCCTCATAGTATTGGTGACCTGTTGTTGAATCAACCCTGAAGCCTAACCTGCCTTTCTTTGGATTTCCAGTTAGGTGAACCGATCCATTTCCTTAATGTTTAAGCCAGTTTGAGTTGGGTTTCCTGTTAATTAAAGCCAAAAACATCTTGAGTGCCAAAATAATCTTACTATCATTGTTATTATATCATCATGTTAGAAAAAAGTAATATACAAAATTACATACTGTGATTGGAATCATAAAGTTGTTAAAAGAAATTGGAAGGACATATGCCTCTGGGTGAATTTTTTTTGGTTCCTATGAACATATACTTTATTTTCTAATATGATCCTGAATAATGTACACAGGGAAGAAAGTACACAAAAAGTAAGATTAGATTACAAAATGATAGTTAAGGTTTTGGAATCTTGACTTTTTCTCCTCTTCTCTATTTCCCAATGTTTTTATAATATGCTTATGATGTTAGTTTTATATTAAAAATGTTTTATAGTTTCACTGAAACTTAAAAAGTTTTCAACTTTTTCTCTTCCCTCTTTCTTGCATGCACAGTGTTCCTTTTCTCAATTTGTAATTAAATATTTATTAGTGTGATTAATTGATTAATGCTTGTTCTCTGCTAAGCTCAAATGCAGTACTCTTGCTTATCAATGTCTTGTATTCCCAGTACCTGTCATATGATAGAAACTCAATTTAAAAAACTGTTTTGGGGGAGTGAGGCTCACAAGGGAGAGGATATATATGTATATAATTATGACTGATTCACATCGACGTGCGGAAGAGACCACCGTAACACTGTAAAGCAATTATCCTCCAATAATAATAATAAAGTCTTGACTAATGAATAAATGAAAGATAGAATCAGTCAGTCTAAGCATTGCTTTTGATATATTTTCAATTAAAGAGTCAGACTTATTCTCAGCACTAAAAACCATCAACTCTGGTGGTTATTGTCTTAAATACTATATTTTAAGAAGAAAATAGGACAAAAAGAAAAAACTCTCAGTCTGGAGCCTGGAATCTAAATTCTTTTAATAAGCATCCCAGATGATTCTGAACCAGATGGTCTAGTACCATATCTTGGAAAACATGCTGTGTGCGTGCACGTGTGCGTGCGTGGGCGTGTACACACACGTGTGCTCAGTCGTGTTCAACTCTTTTCGACCCCACGGGCTGAAGCCCACCAGACTCCTCTGTCCATAGAATTTTCAAAGCAAAAATATTGGAGTGGGTTGCCATTTCCTGTTGCAGGGGGATTTTCCAGACTCAGGGATCAAACCCACCTCTCTTTAGTCTCTGGCACTGGCAGGCGGATTCTTTACCACTGCGCCACCTATTGGAGTCTGAGTGTTCACATCATTCATAGTCATCCAGCTTCCAAGAAAATCATGCTGAAGTCATTGGGCCTATTTAATGTGAATCAGTCTTTATTCCGCACTTGTGTGGTGCATTAACAAATTCAACATACAAGATAGCATTACATATTGTAGGTTAGCATTACAGCATTATGCAGTTTCACACAATTCATGTTAGCTTTTTCGAGTTTTTTCTTTTTTTTTAATTTGACACGTTTATTTTATTTTTGAGTTTCATTTTTACAAGAGAAGACACAAGGTAAAGAAAGACGACCACATTGGAGAAGGATCATGGTGAGGGCAATGTCACTATTGTGGCCATAATAAAAGCTTTCCAAGAAAAAGGACTTGCATCATTCCCTCTCCTGAGCAAGCAGCCCCTGTCCCATGAACCAGGTCTATCTGTTCTCATATCCCGAGCACCGCTCCTAAACATGTACATCTTGGCTGTGCTCCACTTAGATGAACTGAAGGAAGGACTAACTCATAAAGGGACTTTTTGTTATTAAAAAAAGCTCTTGTCTTCCCAAAGGAATCAAGATATCAGCAGAGAAGGACTGACTCTTGGAAAATCAGAAGTGACCATTCCCTAGCCTGTTCCTGATCATGAGTGCCTTGTGCGAAAGCTAGAATGTGACTCTCTTGTCTTTCCACTGACTCTTAGGAGTAGGCATTCCTCCTCCACCCTTATCAGTTAGCTCTGGGAGGAACAAATATGAAAGCTGAAGTCAGCTAAGAAACTTTGGGATGGCTGAGTCAAGGGCACAATGGATCAGGCCTGAGGTAGGAGGGAGGAACCTGGTACTGTCTGCCTCCTTGCCTTTTTCTGAGAAAGACACCGAGGCAGTTCCGAGGCTACAGAACTATGGGTCCCTCTCCTGCCACCTCCACCCACTGCCCAGTAGATGCAAAGAATAAAGCTACAAGGAGATGGGTGAGAGAGGAGTCGGGTGGGGCTGTTTTCCCAGACTTATGTCAGGAGGAGCTGCAGAGGCGCACACAGCAGGGCAAAGTCCACACTCTCTCCACCTGTGGCTTTGCACTGTTTCTGGGAAGGAAACAAAAGCGGGTTGCTCAGCAGTTTCTGATCTTTAGACATTAAGGCGATGAAGAGGAACCATTTAAAATTTTTCCTAATGGGGCTTCAGAATGCTCCTGTCAGATTTACATTAAACTATCTCAAAATGCATTTTTAGAAAACAAATTATTTTTGTCTACGTATGATACAGTATTTACATTCCATGGAGTCTTGGATAGAAACCAGTGATGTGAACCCAGCTGATGGTGAGATTGTGAGTCAGATTCTGGGGGCTGGAGGATGACAGGGACAAGAACAGAGAGTAGGCTCTGTGCCTGCTCAGAACTGCTCTGCATTGTCAAGAATCCAGGTTAAAGAAGAAGAAAGAAGAATGGGGTTGGGGGGTCAGGGAACAGATTGGTTTTAAATCCACAAGAGTTATGGAACGGCAGAGGCAATATCACCACTCTCTCCATAGAGACTCAGTTTTTCAACTCTCAGAAGCAAGTCAGATAGTGATGTTCTTGTATGAATGTGAAATTTCTGTCTCTACTAATCTTTCAGGCCTTGGTTCAAGCTGCTGCTTACCTGAGTTCCTCTTCAGGCTGGCAAAAATATCTACTGCCTATCCAGGCTTACTTATCATCCATGAAGTCTCTGCCATCTGAAAAGTCTCAACTCTAGAGACATGGCTGGACTAGGGATAAGGAGACGTGAATTCTAAAAAAGAGGCTGAATCTCTCTCAAGCTCTACTATCCACTGGCAGATGGAGGACTAAGCTCTGTGGTTTCCCCATGCCTTCATTGTACCTTGAGATTCAGGAGCCCTAAAAACTACGCACTTTGTTTACAGGGAAAGGATGCTCTGAAAAATCCAAGTTATCTTTATTACTAATTTGTCATGTGCTCATTTTACTCATTTAGTTATTTTTAAGGGCCATTATTGAAAAATTTGAGGAGAAAATAATTTCTGAAGGTCCTTTTCCTTATGAAGTAAAACTAACCTCACGTAAACTATTTGAGAAGACTCTAAAGCTTCTCAGTGGTCAGCATTTCTGGAAAAACAAAGGCCAGTCTAACCCTTAACCACAGTTGATTCCTAACACATCAACCAACAAATGGCTATCCTTCCAAACACAGCTACAAAGGGCGAGGCACTCATCTCATTTTCCTTGTCATCACACCTGCATTTGGGATCAGCTAGATACAATCAATGGTACTATCCTGTAGCTGAATTTGAAGTCCCAAAGCTCTTTCTAGAGAAGTCACCTAGTTTTGTAAACCCAGATTCTACCTAAAAGTCTGATGCCTTCGCGTAATTGATCACATATTAATCAAAGAGAGCTTTTTACCCCTTTCCAGCAGGAGCGCTGATAGCAAACATGCCTCATTTCTCAAATACTCCTCCTGCAAACCCTGCCTTATCCATTCCACCTTTGTATCTTCGCCTACTACAGACCTCTGGTCCTTAAGCTCAAAGAGCAGAAATGAAAGCGGTAATAGGGGGAAAAGAGGGGATGATGAAAACATGAGGTTTTACAAGAGCAGAAAGATTCTTCCACAGAGGTGGGGCGTGAGAATAACTCTCCAGAGAAGCCCAATAAAAAGAGACCAATTTCAGGTAATCAGCAAATACAATTCGGCACAAGACACAATTTTCATGGATTAAAATCTGTACCTTGATATTGGCAGTTAGGCTAATTTCTTCAGTTTGTATTAGACATGCAAGTATAAGGTTACATTGTTATATATAGACTTGTAGAGGTCTTTCCCTCTCTTTTTTTCCCCATTTAAAAAAAAAAAAGGATTTCCAAGTGCCTTGCAAAGGAGAAAAATCATCATTGCTAAGAACTGAACTGCAGCTGTGGTCATGTGGGGTGTTCTCTGTGGGGTCTGTCGTGTAAGAAATTTTCTTCTACAACTAAAATGAGGTTTTGAGTCCGCTCCTCTGGGTCCTCTCTCCCCCCGCCACGTCCCTGCCCAGCCTGGCCCCAGGGCTAGAGGCGAGGAGAAGAGGATTAGTACTCGCTCAGGCTGTGCCACTTGGCCACGGGCTTGCGGGGGCTCTCGCACACCTCTCTCCAGTGTTCGGCACCGCTGGCGGTGACACTGTGCGCCCCCAGGATCAGCCTGCCCACCACCTCGTTCTTGGTGGTGCGATCGAAGTCGATGACCAGGAACTCGATGCTGATGTCGGGCAGGAGGTCGGTGGGGATGTCGTAGATGAAAGACTCATTGAAGACTGGGTTCAAAGTGCACTTCTTCACGTGGGTTTTCTTCTTGGCAATGCGCTTTCTGCCGTAGTAGACGTTCACCTTGACATAAGGATCTGGGGCCCCCAAAGAAAAAAGGGAGACAGGCCTATGACACAGTCCTCTCCTACGCAGTGTCAGGGAGGAGGGGCTTCTGCTGTCCATCCCCTTGATGTCCCCTCTCTCACCCCGTGTGGTCTTTGGTGGTTGCACACCAAATGTACACTGACTGTGCACATCTGCCCGCCTGGACAAGGGGTCAAGGAAACCAGGCAGACGAGGAAGAGGAAAGCTGCCTCGAGTCAGGGCTGAAGAAACGCCGTGACACCAAGAAGCATTTTCAGGGGGCAGAGGGACTACCAAAAGCTGCAGGCTTTCTGAGAAGTCTCAGCTGGAGCAAGAGCACAGAGGCTGGCGTGCATACCCCTGTGAATACCTCGCCAAAGGTAGAGACCATTTGCTTATCCAAATACCTCCCTGGTGACATTCATCAGGAAGAGAATGTAGACAGAGAAAGGAACGGGTGGAGGGTGAGAGGTGCCAGGGGTCCTGAAAGGTGGGCGGGGGGAGGCGTCTGGATCACAGGCAAGGGGCGGCGGTGCAGGGAGGGCAGACAGGCAGAGATGGGTTGAAGTAAATAGCTGCTACCTGAGAGGCCGGTGATGTCCATCTTCGGCAGGTGTCTGGCTTTGAGGACCACCACCGTCATTCTCTGCGCCACAGGCTGGTATGACAGAGACACCTGGAGCTCGCCTCTGCTCATGCACTTCTGTGGAGGAGAACCAGAAGGTGAGAAGCCCAGCCGAGGGGGCAGGCCACGCCACAGAGAGTGCACAGGGCAAAGGAGATGTTCTCCTCACAGTCCTGAGTAAACAGGGGCTTCCTGGTGGTCCTGTGGTTAAGACGCCACACTTCCACTGCAGGGGGCGCGTGGGTTCAATCCCTGGTCAGGGAACTAAGATACCGCATGCCACATGGCGTGGCCCAAAATAAAATAAAATAAAAATCTTATAGTAAATAAAATAATTTGCATGGAGAGGCAGCACAGCACAGACTCTGCAGCCAGACTGGCCTGGATTCAAATCCTGACTCTACTGCTTATCTGTCTGAGCTGGGACAAGGTCAGCCCTACTTGACCTCTCTGTATTTCTGCTTCCTCTTCTGTAAAATGGATATGAAAACAGTAGCAACTTCCCAGGACTAGTAAGAGGATTCAGTAAATTAGTGTGTACCAGAGACACGTACTCTCTCCTGCTCTCTCATTTGGTTCTTGTGATAAACTTTTGAAGGGAGATAGGAAACTCGCATTTGAGTCTTTGTCACTTACTCACCAGCTGGCCCTGGGCAAGTACCTGGACTTTCTGGAGCCTGTGGCTCCATTTCACAAGGTGAATATCCACACCTGCTTTGCCTGCCCCAGTGTATGACCTTCAGAGTGTCTTCTCTGGCCACCCTGGATGCCCATATCTTTGTTTCCCCACCTTGAAATGTTATGCTAGGCTCTATTTTGAGCTTGGAAACAAGACAAAACAAAACAAAAACTCTAGTCCTCCAAGAACATTTTAAATAACATTTGGATACTAATTATATGTCAGGTGCTGGGAATTCAGAGCTAACAGGACTCAGTCATTGTTCCCAAGGATGCAGTAGAAGATTCAGAGATGTAAACAAACATGTTTACTTGTCAGGAGAGTGAGAAGACTTGGAATTCCCTGGTGGTCCAGTGGTTAGGTCCGGGCTGTCACTATTGAGGGCCTGGGTTCTGATCATGGGACTAAGATCCCACAAGCTGCACAGTGAGACCAAAATAAATGCTTCAGTGCTGCTGGGAGTTGCAGGGGAGGTTTTGCCAGCTGACATCAGGGCTGAGCTGCTGGGGGATGAGAAAGAGACACTGGGGCAATGGGCAGAGAGATGAAGATCCTGCGTGGCAGGGCTGGTCTGGGGCTGAAAGGGTAGGCTATGTACAGAGAGTGGGGAGAGGTAAAAGTACCTGATGTTGGAGTGCTGGCAGAAGGGATGGGCCAGGAACCTGGAGAGGTGGGTTGGGTGGGGGTGAAGGGCATGGGGTGCCGGGGGGAGTAGGCTAACCAAACAGCAGAGCCAGCAGCAGCAGCCAGGCGGAGAGGAGGTCTGTAAGCATAGGAGCAACTTCTGTAAGCATGATGTTACTGCTGTTGTTAATATACTAAGCATATTATTCTAGTTAAAGCTGGGGAAGGAACTAAAGACGAAAGTCAGAAAACTTGGTGAAGAGGCTGCTCCCAAAGGCTAGGGAAGAGAGGGTGAGGGCTGGAACCAGGACTGTGGCAGAGGAGATGGACCTGGGATAGGTCTCAGAAAGAACTGTCAGGATTTTCTGGGTGGGGGCAGCTAACTGGATATAAATTTAGGGGAGAGGGAAGAGAGGAGCGACTGTTTCTTGTGTTTCTCTCTTAGGAAGTGGGGATGAGGCTGGGATAAAGAAAACAAAATGTGGCGGCACAGGAGGAATTTAGGACATAAGTTAAATTTGAGGCAAAAAATTTTGAGACCAAACCATTTCTCCACCATCAAATTTTATTCCTTATACTCTTCATAGCCCCAAAGGAAGGTCATCAACTCAACTTCTTAGATTGAACAAAAATAGACCAAACTTACCGCTAGCCTTACAAATGCCACATACCCACCAAAATGACTTGCTGTGCATTAAGTGCCAGGCAATCTGCTGGCAGCTAGGGCTAAAAAGATGCACCCCTACCCTCCAGAAGCTCACAGGCTAGTGAGCAGGCTAGGAAAAAACAGCAGTAGTAAATTATTTAATTAGCTCATCAGTGAAAAACAAAGGAAAAACCCTAATAGCTTATGCTTTGATTTGATAAGTCATCACCTCAAGGAATGAACTGTGATAATATTTCCACTTGGTTTAAAAAATTTCTTGAGGCTATGTTTCATACCAGGAGCATATGGAAATGTCTTTCATAGGGTATTGAACGTGACTAAACTTTAAACGTAGCCATTAGCTTTTGAAATTGAAGTACAAAAGAAAATAGGCTTTACAGAAAGATAAAGACCATTACAGTATACTAACACATATATATGGAATTTAGAAAGATGGTAACGATAACCCTATATGCAAAACAGAAAAAGAGACTCAGATGTATAGAACAGACTTGTGGACTCTGTGGGAGAAGGCGAGGGTGGGATGTTTCAAGAGAACAGCATTGAAACAAGTATATTATCTAGGGTGAAACAGATCACCAGCCCAGGTTGGATGCATGAGACAAGTGCTCGGGCCTGGTGCACTGGGAAGACCCAGAGGGATCGGGTGGAGAGGGAGGTGGGAGGGGGGACCGGGATGGGGAATACATGTAAATCCATGGCTAATTCAATGTATGACAAAAACCACTGCAATGTTGTAAAGTAATTAGCCTCCAACTAATAAAAATAAATGGAAAAAAGAAAATAGGCTTTAGAAATGATTTTCATGGTTTTCTCTGCTAGATGAAGCCCTACATCTTTTCCTTACCCAAAACATACTGTCGGCTCTTGACTATGTCCACAGGACGCACTCTGAGACAGTTTAAAATCACAGGCTGGTTGCTCCTGCCAACCAGTATACTGCTGGGTCGCTTCCTTTGACATAAGTCAGAACACAGTCAGAGAATGTGCACTCATTTTTCCTATCAGTCACAGCCCAAAGGCGTCAGGAAAGGAATCCCTCAGGAAAAAGAAAATACCTTCCAAAATGTTCAGAACTAAACTGCTCAACACAGTAGCTGGCAGCTACATGTATCTATTTAAATTTTAATTCATTAAAATTAAGTAAAATTAAAATGTCAATCCCTCAGTCACACTGGCCATATTTCAAGTGCTCAGTGTTCACACGTGGCCAATGGCTATCATGTTAGGTACATGCAGATATAGAACATTTCCATCATCATAGAGAATTCCAGTGAACAGTGCGGATCTATCTAGAAAGAACTTTTGGATTATTTGGGCCACTGCTCCCCTCCATTTCCATGAATAATGAAATGTTAACTAGTTTTGATATCTACATCTGGGACCATCCTTGAATATTGGTATCTAAATATTAAAAATACAGTCTGTTTTTTTTAAAATACAACCTTTAAATATAATCTAATTTTATATACAGAAGAAGGCTGGGGAGGGTAAAAAGGAAATTTTGACTTAAAAAATAAAGTTTTATTTGTAAAAATAACATCAATTACAACATGATACTTAGGTTTTCTGATTATTTAAAACTGTTTAAAAAAAACAAACTGTTTCCTAAATCATCCATTACAGCATAATCACCCTAATCAAAGTCCCGTGTGCCTTCCCTAGTTCTTTGGGAAAGTGGACAACTTCTGGTCACCTTCACAATCCTTTCCTCCCCTAAAATCACTCCTCTGGCAACTGTTCTCCATCTGACCCACCCTCCCCCCCACCTTTGGCCATTTTACATAGGCAGAATGCCCATCCTCATTCATCTGCCCCTTTGGGATGCCCAAGTCTGCCGCCACAACACCACCCGAATGCCATTCCATTCTGCATTGAAGGCCAGAGTTTCAAGTCCCCCCTCTCGCCTCCCCTTCTCTTTCCACCCAATTCCCATTCCAAGCGGCATTGTCAATGGCTCTTTCTCAAGGGCTCTTTGTCAAGGGCTGGGAGCGAACTCTGTTTCCCAGCTCCTTCGCCTAGTGAGGTAAAGACCCTGTTGGGGGGTGGGCGAGCAGAGAGACAAGGGGGAGAAAGGGTTTTATCCATGCCTGACAGAGCCGGGAGGCTTTACTCTCAAGAGTGCAGGATCTTTTCTCAGTCCGTGGAAAAGAGGAACAAGGGGTCCTAAAGAAGACGTTAGGCTGAAGGAAATACTTAGGCGAAGGATAAATCTATTATAATTAGCAGAGCCCCTACGGAATGACTTTTTCTAGCCAGAGCATCTTTGCAAAGAGGAGGACTCATGCATCCTCAATAAACCTTTATAGGGACTAGAAGTTCTCATTGCTACCTCCACATAAATCACAGCCATGAGAAAACAAAAGAAAAAAAACCTTAACATTCAACCACATCCCTCCTTGTCTTCTCCCCAATACACATACACAGCAACTTCCTTTTTTGGTGTGTATGATTTTATTTTTCTATAGCAAATTTCTTTATTGTTTATGGAAAATTGACATTCCTTATTCTTTCTTTCTTTTCACTCCCTTTTGACTAGCCTGGATGACCTCCAAGGTCTCTTGTAAATCTGAGATTTTAAGAATCCTCTCATTCCCATGACCACTGTCCCAGGTCATGAACACCAATCTGGCAGTAGAAAGACAGGAAATGGTTTGGGAAACAATGACATGAAGAAATTAGGAGGAGTCTAACAACTCTCTATTATCCACCCTGTAAATCACTTCTTTCCCACTGTCTCTTCTTTAACCCCAGCCCTCTCTCAATCACTTCCCTTCTCCTTGTTGGGGGTGTATTATGGAAATGTAAATTCACTTTTCTTTCTTTCTGAATAAAATACTAGGGGGAAAAAGCTGCCACTAAAGGAAAAAAAAATCCAGTTCCAAAGTCCAACTCAGAGAGTTTGGGGGTTTGGAGTTTATGCTGTAAACTTCTTTCACTAATAGTCAAGTGTTAATTTTTAATGCTTCTTATCTTTCTGTATATTCATAAGAGCTGAGAATGCTCTCATAAAGAGACCCCATTAGCCTTCATGATCCAGCCAAGACGGAGACTGAGACCCAGAGAAGGTAACTGCATACCCAGAATTAGGCAATGAAATGGACAGAATCAAAAATCATGATCAGTCCTGGCTTCTTTCAATTGGATTGCATTGCAATAGCAGAAAGGACAAAAGCTGAATTTTCTGCTAAAGGTCAGAAAGTGCAGTTAGGGGTTGGGGATTGTCTAGAGAAGTGCAATTCTCACCATTCTCCACCCAGGAAACTTTGATCCCATTACTATAAAGGGATACCCTACCCAGATCAGGAAAAGACTCTTTACAGTGTGAACTCTTCCAAAGCAGCTCTAGCTGATGAGCCAAGGGGAGACCCAGAAAGAGCAGACGATTGGCTACAGTAGGGAGGTTTAAGGTGGACATTTGGAGGCTGCACAGCTAGGGAATCAGGGATACAAATGACTAGGGAGATGACAGCCATGACCCAGGGTGAAACATAGCCCTGCCCACTGGCACTGGTAGGGGAAACAGGCTTAGGAAGCCTGGGAGGCTGCAGGGCTCTGGGTGTCCTGTCTGGGGCCTCATCCAGGGAATGTGTTGCTCAGGATCCCACCCTGGCTTATCCCTTCTGAAGGGAGTTAATAAAGTGGAAAGAAGCTTGGCTGTCGCCAAGAGCCCCTGGCAGTTTAGCAAATGCCATTGTCTGTGCTCTCTGCCCAGTGTCCTGGATTTGAGGCTTGCTTTGTTCCCAGCCCGAATCAGTCCCTTTCCTTGCCAGTGTGCCTTCCCAGCTGCAGCCTGGCACAGAGCCGCCCTCCACACGCCGTGGGCTGAGAGCATGAGTCGTGTGGGGGAGCCCAGCCAGTGGGTGGCTTTACCCAGGCTAGTACTCCAGGGAAGGCTGTGCTGAAAAGAGCCGCCCGGTAGGAGAGCTGAATGAAGGCAGAGGGTAGGGTACTGGAGCTGCTATAATGGGGAGTCAGGAGTCAGGGGAGCGGGCTGGTAGAATCTGGAGGAAAAGAAATGGAGGGAGAAGGGAGGGGATGCAGGGAGATGAAACCGGTCACTGCTGCAGCTTCTGTGCAGGCCTGCTGACTCCAACCTCAGAGGATGCAAGAAGTCCTGCTATGTTGGACTCAGGGGTGTCTCATTGTATCCTGGCAAGGGACCAGTGTTCATGCCCTGACCAAATACCTCTAATATTCTCTGAAGTGTTCAGACTTCTCCTGGCCCTTGTGAGCTGAGCGTGCCACGTGGCAACAGCGGTTCTCTGGGCAGTGGCATGACTGGGCTGGCTGCAGTGGGGCAGGCAGAGATGGTGAGCACAGCGCCGGGGGAAGGGCTCCTTGCCTCCCCTCCTCAGCCTGGCACAGCACAGCGCCCTGCAGCAACGGCCAAACCTGCTTCCCAAGAGCTCACTGCCCGCTCAGTCCTGCTGGCCTGGAAGCCTCCGTACGTTCCTGAGCCTCCTGCCTTCCCACTGAGTCCAGCATGGGTTTGCAGCCGGAGAAGGCAGTAACAGAGAAGTAAGGTGCCTGCAGGCAGGGCTCTTTCTGGAAAACGTGCAGGTGTTTTTAGTGACCCTGATATCCTTTCCAAACCTCCTACCATCTTCTCCACTGATCTAGCCTTCCTTGTCTTCCTTTACTTTATCAAAACAAAATGTAAATATCTAAAAAAAAAAGTAAATATCTACAAATCACATATCTCTCCCAGGGATCAAACTTCAATAATTATAATCCTGGTTAACATTTATGAGAGTTTACTATGGGCTAGGGACTATGCAAATGCATCATTTTAATTCCTTATAAGAAACAGAGACTTAGAGAATTTAAGCAGCTTGCCCAAGGTCACTTAGCTGGTAGAATTTAGATTCAAACTCAGGTCTGACTTCAAAGTCCCTGCTGTGCTATGCTTAGTCTCTCAGTTGTGTCCGACTCTTTGTGACTCCGCGGATTGTAGCCTGCCAGGCTCCTTTGTCCATAGGATTCTCTAGGCAAGGATACTGGAGTGGGTTGCTCTGCCTTCCTCCAGAGGATCTTCCCAACCCAGGGATCGAACACAGGTCACCCGCACTGCAGGTGGATTCTTTACCATCTGAGCCACCAGGGAAGCCCAAGAATACTGGAGTGGGTAGCCTGTCCCTTCTCCAGGGGAACTTCTCAACCCAAAAATTGTACCAGGGTCTCCTGCATTGCAGGCAGATTCTTTACCAGCTGAGCTACCAGGGAAGCCCCAAAGTCCTTGCTATCAATTCCTTATGTTAAATCCTGAAAAAGGAATGAAACTCTTAAGTGTAAAATTTTAACAACCTCTTTCATAGCACACTCACTATATGATAAATGCCAAGATTTCTTTTTTGTCTTTCTCCTCCACTAAGTAAAAGCTACACGAAGGCAATAAGATGCCAGGTATATTATTCCTCATAACCCATAAGGAAGGCAATATTATCAGTTCCATTTTACAGATGGGGAAATAGAAGTTGAGAAGAGTTAAGTAACTCACTTACATCATACCCCTGGAAAGTGGTGAGCTGGAAGGTGAAGCTAGGCAGTCAGATAAGAGCCCTCCTGCCAAACTGCAGAACTGCATTGCCTCCCCAGTTGAGAATGAAACGAATGAACTAGTGTGGCTGGGAGCACAATTCTTGCATCCCTGAGAGAATTCAAGAACCAATGTGAGCCCAGTGGAGAGAAGGCAGGATGGAGGGCTCTCATGCCCCTCTTAATGCAAACAGGAATGAGAGGAGGAATGGGGAGAAAAGTATCTGTGGCAAAGGTTTCAGCCTGAGTAACGGGCCTGAAAGGTAAAGCAGCTGTATGCTATGAATGCTAAGTTGTTTCAGTCATATCTGACTCTTTGCGACTCCATGGCCTGGGACCCACTAGGCTCCTCTGTCCGTGGGATTTTCCAGGCAAGAATACTGGAGTGGGTAGCCATTTCCTCCTCCAGGGGCTCTTCCTGACCCAGGGATCGAACCCGTGTCTCTTACATCTCCTGCACTGGTAGGTGGGTTCTTTACCACTAGCAATACCAGGGAAAGCCAAAGCAGTTGATGAAGTTGCATTTATAAAATGGTTGTTAAAAGTCACACAGATGCAAGCTTACTTATATCTCTAGGTTTGGGCTGGGAAGGGGAAGCCGAGGGAAAAATTACTGAACTACTTCCATAGTTTCTCAGTTGTAAGGAATAAGTTCACAAGAGGAAGATCACACATTTTGGAGAAGAAATTGGCTCCCATTTGCCTGAAATGATGAGGTCTAGGACTGGAGGGTCAGCCTGCTCAAAGCAAGCTGGATGCAGCATCAGGATGTCAACCACTAAGAGCAATTTCAGAAGGCGTTTGCCCTTTTCTCTTCAGGAAATTGCTTCTTGGAGGAGGCCTAACCTGCCAGGCTCTCTGTCTTACTTTGACCACTGCTCAGTCTTGACATCCAAGAGCTTCCTCTCTACAGCCCCTCCTTGCCATCCATCCCACTTCTCCCTCCCATTCATCCCCTTCTTTCCCCCAACCTACCATTCCTCCCCAACAACTCTTCCTCCTCACCTGGATGTTCCTTTTGATGATGTCCCTGGTCAGCTGTACCTTGCCCGTGCTGGGGTCCACCCCTGCCAGTGGCACCATGACCTCCCCAATGACGTCATCCCGGGAGAAGCGGTCAAAGCTGAGGACGAGGAAGTGCAGGACCAGGTCTTGCAGCTGGCTGTATGGGATGCCATAGAAGGTGAAGGTTTCATCAAACACAGGGTCCAGGGTCTTCCGCAGCACCCTGGTCTTCACCCGATGCCGCTTGTCGGGAAGGATGGTCATTTTGATGTAGGGGTCAGAGCCCTGGGTCTGGTCATCCATCACGGGCAGCCCATGAGCCTCCTGGATTGTCACCACCAGGGCTTTTTTCGGGAAGTTATAGTCCACTGAGAAGGTGAGGGATCCGAGCATGACATCCTCCTCTGGAGAGGATGGAGAAGTGGTTTTGCTCTCCCCGGGGGTCAGGCTTGCAATGGGGCTCCTCAGTTCTTCCCCATAGTCCACTTTGATGGGTAATTGGTCTACACAAGATCCAGAGCTAGGTCCCTTAGGACTCTTGTCTTGGCCCAGCAGGCCAGCCTCTGCTGCATCTACCAACAGGTTCCCACGTCCACCTTCCCTCCCGGGGCCATCTTTGTCTCTCCGCACTTTGATGATTTTCTTCTTGTTGCTGAGGGTTTCCGGGTATATGCTGATGCCTTTGAGCATGTGAATGAACTTGTATGGTGGGTTCTTGTGCTTCTTCTCTGCCTGCTGGTGGCAGCACGTCCAGACAAAGACGGTCACGGAGACACACACCACCAGCACAGAGGCCCCGATAAGGCCAGCGACCACCGGTGACACATCTGAAAGTGGAGACCAGAGATGTGTCAAGGCGGGTGGACCTCAACCTCTGCCAGAGCACCCCTGCATAGTGCCTCTGGCTGGAGCCAAGCTAATCTGCAACCTACCCTTCTTCAAAGCAAAACTTGCTCATCTAGGCTTATGAACTTCTCCCCTCTCTTAGAGATGCCCTCACCCATCCCTCCAACCCATCCATGGCTCTTTCTTTCCACCAACCTGGATGAAATACTTATCCTCTCTAGAAAGCCCCCCCCTGCAGTGCCCCACCTGACTGCCTGTTCTTTTCTTGGCCTTGCCTCTGCACTTATGGACTTGGTTTGTTCATATTGATTTGTGTTTCACATGAAGTGGCCCTGTAAGTGTTATAGGTCACCCTTCTACATAGGAACCATTCACCTCAACTGTTCCACAAGGGCATGAGCTGTGTCTGGTTTCAGGAGGATATTCCACAGCATCCAGCACAGGGTTTGCCACCGTGGGTTTGTGTGGATAGGTAGGGTGGGAGGATGTGGAATTGACTTTGGATGGTTTTGGTAGGGTGCCCAAGGGTGATAAAAGTAGGTGAGTGGTAAGAAGCAGAACTGTGGGCCTAAGTCCTTATTTGAAATACGTTCCAAATTTCAGCTCCCAGGTATTTAAAATACTTGTATTTTAATGTAAAATACAAATATTTAAAAATAAAACACAAGTATTTTAAATAGGAAGAAATAGGGACCATGGAACATGTCAGACCTTGTCACCTTCTTAGTAAGGTCTTCCCTGACCAACCTATTTAAAAATGAAACCTTTTCCACCCTTGAGATCTACCCTTCTGGCCCCGCTTAATTTTCTCTATATGACATGACATAAGTTCTCTCTTTCACACACACACACACACACACAAGAATATATACAAACACTCACATATAGTTGTATTAGTCATTGTCTATCTTCGCTAGAACGTGAGTTTCCTAAGGGCAGGGGTCTTGTCTGCTTGTGTGCTGTGCTGATCACTCAGCCATGTCCAGCACTTTGTGACCCCACTGACTATAACCCACCAGGCTTCTCTGTCCATGGAACTCTCCAGGCAGGAATACTGGAGTGGGTTCCCCTGCCCTTCTCCAAGGCATCTTCCCAATCTTCTGGGGTTGAACCCAGTCTTCTGAATTGCAGGTGGATTCTTTACCTTTTGAGCCACCAGGGGAGCCTTTTGTTCGTTTCCTTCCTTTCTATATCCCAAGCACTAAAACACCTAGCAGGTACTTAATATTTGTTAGGTAAACAAATAACTAAGGAGAAAGAGGTTTTTTTCCTTCCTTTCTCTAGTCTTGTCTTTTCCTGCACAAATTGGGCCCCCGACTTAGATAATTAGGTTTGGGGATTTCTTCTCCCTTAAATGAACTGAAGCTAAATTGGGTTTAGGCCTTAAAGATCTAGATAAGGCCTATAGTTATCCATACTACGCATTAGGGTAAGTCTCAAGTAGGGCAGGAGGAACTAAGGAAATAAATGTGATTGTTGCATAGTCTAGATTTTTCCTAGAACGTCCTTCTATCAGGCATATGCCTGGCCTGCTGCCTCACTCACTGCAGGCTTTTGTCCAAACCTCATTTTATCAGAAAACATTTCCTGTCTGTTCCAAGTAAGATAGTATCCCCACTACTCTGATTTATTGCTCTTTGTAGCACTTATTACCTCTGGCATATATTTACTTGTCAGTCTTCTCTTACTAGGTAATTTAAGAAGAATAGTGACTGGCTGTTTTGTTCACTGCTACAGTTCCAGGTCCTAGAACCACGTGGTACATAGTAAGTGTTCAGTGAACAAATGAGTTTGTGAATTCAAAACAGCTTCCACTTTAGGAGTCTGGGATTAACAGATAACAAACTACTATTTAAAAAGTAGATAAACAGCAAGGTTCTACTGTATAGCACAGGAAACTATGTTCAATATCCTGTAATAAACCATAATGAAAAAGAATATATATACACACACACACATATATATAATTAAATTATTCCTGTACATAAGAAACTAATACACCATTATAAATCAATGATACCTCAATAAAAAAAAAAAAAAACCCAGTTTCCACAGATTGGAGAAAGAGGATGAGGTCAATATGACTACATATAACAGGGATAAATGTAAAATTCTATTTAGCCTTCAAAACCTATTATAGGAAATAGGAGACCTTACTTGACAAATCTGAGTAGAAACAACTTAGTAGTTTAAGTGATAACAAGCTTGGAGTATACCTAGGCTGACATACTATCAGTGCAATGTTTAGATAACAGAGGGGCAGTAAAATTTCATCTGCTCTGCTCATGACACATATGAAGTGCTCTGTCTATTTCTGACAAGAATAAAAATTGCTGTTTCTGTGTGCCAGTATGATACCCCTGCCAGACACTGTGTTAGAGCTTCCTCAATCTGACTCAAATAACTCACTGAATAGGTCCCATCAATAGCCCAGTTTTACAACTGAGGAAGCTGGGGATTCAAATCTACCCTAGACCACATAGAAGCAAATGACAGTGATGAATTTAAACCCTGGTTTATCTGACACCAGAATGTCTCTACATTATGGATAAGCAGGATAGAAGAGGACCTAGAAACCATATTAAATGAGGAGAAACTTAAGGAATTGAAGCTGAAGGGTCTGGGAATAACAACTTTCTTTAATTACTTAAGGTACTTTGCTGGAAGAAGGTCTGATCTGATTTTACTTTGGAGGGCAGGTCTGATAACAACGCATACAGGATACAAGAAGACAGATAAATGGAAAGAACTGAATTATTGTTAGAACTGCTTCTCGATGGCCCAGATTGTTTCCAGAGGCAGTGACTCTCTGAAGATTTTCAGAGACTGGATCACCTTGGTCAGATATATTCTAAAAGGAATTTTCTTAACAAGGATTGGAATCAACATCTCTGAAATTCTCTCTGCCTCAAATATTCAAAGTTCTATGAATGTTGGGACCAGGTAAGAAAAGAAGTGGTTACATTTTGAAATAATATCAATGACTAAATCCATTTAACAAAAAGTATATCAAGGTGACTGTGTCCATGGCCATACTGAATAATAATAGCATTTATTTTCAGAATATCAGGTGAAATAAAAACTGTTAGGCAGAGGTTTCACATAATGGGAGCAGCCTTGACTGTAAGCTCCTTAAGAGCAGGTAGAAATTACAGTCTATTTAGCTTTGAATCCCCGAGTCTCTTGCATCTAACAGGAGCTCAGTAAATATTTGCTTGAACAATTGACTGGGTTCAACTGTAAATCAGAATGGGCACAATCTGAAAAATTGGCTCTCCATTCACCTACGAGAGACTTTCCTGAAAACTGTTTGCTACTGATTCATAACACTGAATATTATCTCTACAAGAAGAGAAAAGCAAGAAACTACCAGCACAAGTATATTTTTGAGAATGATTTGAAAGGGAGTCTAAAGGTCAGGGTTGAGAGACATCTGAGTGATCCTTTTGGCTCTACCATAAATTCACTCTATGATTTTGAGAGATCCCACTGCTGTTTACTATGCCTCAACTTTTACTGCTAGAAAGCAGTGGATCAGTAAAAGAGAAGATGAAGGATGCTTATCTTTCAGGAGGGTAGAGAAGGAAAAAGAGACAGACAGATGAATGGTTAGATAGCATCACCGACCCAATGGACATGAATCTGAGCAAACTCCAGGAGACAGCAAAGGACAAGGAAGCCTGGCATGCTACAGTCCATGGGGTCGCAAAGAGTTGGACATGGCTGAGCGACTGAGAAACAGCACAATGCCTCCACCTTGCTTCCCACCTTTGCTCTACTTTCTTCTTCATTTTAGTATCTGTTAATCCCTACGTCTCTCCCCTACACCCAAGGCAGTAAACTAGAAAAATCAGAGATGTTGAAACTCAGGACCCTCTGTCTAGTTTTAGTCAAAAGCTTAGTGGGAAAAGTAAGTTAGAACTAAAAGCTGAAGTGAGTGTTTTCAAGTAGTTGTAAATTGCAGTGACCTATGCTGCTTGCTCCTTTTGTCCTCCGAGGTCAAAGATAACTAATTGAGTGTCGGCTTGGAGTATCTCACAAGGGCTATGGAGTCTGAAATGAAGTACTTTATGAGATGTGAAAAAAGTCAGAAGTTTTACAGGGAGTTCTCGGCGGAGACCTTCCATATGGATCTGACGATCTATAAGACACATCTGGGTTTGTCCAGCTCTCTCAGTCTCTGACCAGACATGCTTATTGACACTTCCTTTGCAAAAATAGCCTTTCCTGGTCAAGTAGGCCAGTGTGACACAGTGAAATAAGAATGAATTTTGCCATCAATTGGAAATTGGTTTAAATCCTAACACTAGCCCAACTAGTTTGACTTTATCTCCCTTAGCCTTGGTCTCCTCATCTAGCAAATATATATATATCTATACATATAAAATAATGAATACACTGGAGGGTATTTATAAGTCTTTTAGTATGTAAAAGACCGGTATAATTTCTTTTCTTTTGTCCACTAATATTTCCTCTAAATGACATCACTATATTATGCTCTACAACAACTGGTTGTAGACAACTGATTTTCAAGGAATCTGGAACTGCAATTAGAGAAAAGAATATAATGGAAAGGAGGCATAAGAAGAAAAATAAAGAGCAAGAAGAAAATCACGTAGTACTCATGTGATCGGAAAAGGGACATCAATTTTGGAAATTTAGGACTCAAATAATAAAACTGCAGAAGATGAAGTGGAAGAAAAATATAAACAAGATTTATCCTTGGGGAATCAGTGTGAACCAGTAGTAAATGGGTGTGATCTGTTGTCTGTATACTTTCTCTGATCTGATGTCTTCTTCCTGACATTGAAGGGATAGAGCAGGCTGGGTTTTGTTAATTTCCATAAACCTTCTAGTAGGCAGTGAGAAAAGCCATTTCCTAGTTGGATGTGACCCCACCCTAAACACTGGAGTCTGGATGCTCAGACCTTCTGGATTGTCTGGGACATAGAATCTCTTAAGGGAAATGAAGGAACCCAAGGCTGACAGCAACTCTCACCCGCTTCTCCCATCCAAACTAGGATAGGATTTAGGCAGAAGCAGGGCAATTCATTTTTCTTTGGGGGCCAGGAAAACAGCACAGGAAGTTTGCTATCTCAGCACATTTTGCAGGAATCCCCAGAGGAAAAACTTGCATCTCGAGCTTTTCTTTCCCATCGGCTTCCCTATTTTCCACCCCACTCTCTGCTCCAGGGAGTGTAACTGATCTTGGAGCCCGTAGGGTTGGGTCTGGGACCAGCCGCTCCGAGATGACGTAATGCTTTCTCTGGTACACAAAGCGGCCTCCCCCGGGCTCGGCCTTTTGCGCCCCTCCCCCTCCGGCCCGGATCGGGCCCCCGCCAGCACCAGCGCGGCTGAGTCCCCCTTTTTGAAAAGCCAGCCCAGGGAAACAGGGAACAAAGGCCTGAGAAGAAGAGCCTAGGCGCTGCCAGGAGGCCCAGAAATAGACATCACGTCATCCCCCAGCCCAGCAGCGCCAAGCGCCATTTGGTAGCATCGGACGGACCCCACCATTACGATGCAGAACAGACATGGCAGGGCTCACGTTTCCTCCCAGCCCCAGCATCCAGCTGACCGGCCTCAGGAGTCGCTTCCTTTTTGCTCTCCACCCCCGCACCCCTCTTTCCCCAGAGGCCGCCGCCTCCCCTGGCTGCCTGCCACACAGCCCACAGTCTCCAAGCTGCCATCTTGATGCCCCATCCCCCTTGCCACCTCCCTCCCCCGCAGCCCTGAGGAGTGGGAGGGGGAGGAAGGGGCACCGCCCTGCGTGCCCCAAGGGGGAGGGCTCGGCCTGCCTCACCTCTCCTCCCCGCGAAGGAGGGACTCACGTCCTTCGCAGGCTCTCTGTTTCCCACCTCCAGCGGCACTGACAGTGCACCATCCAAGGTTTTCGCATCCTGGACGTCCCCACCCTTGGTGTGACTCCGGCCTTCTCAGGTCCTGCAGCCCATGGCTCAGGTTCGGACGCTGTCCACTGCCCGCGATACCACCACCGTAGGCCCGATTCTGCCCACCACCACAGGCCCGATTCTAGAGGGACTGGCACTTGAAGGCCTTGATCTGGGCTGCACGCTCTGCCCAGCCGCTGAGCTCCCTTGGCTTGGCAACGGTTTCACCTACCCCAGGCTTAGTTTGCCAGATTTCTACTTACCAAAGCTAGGTCGGATGTTGGTGATCTCAGCCATGTCGTAATCAGAGGCTATTGCTATAAATGCTTTTGCAATGGTCAGACAAGTCTGGGACCTCCGGTAAGTACCGGAGGCCGCCTCTGCAGAGAGCTAGGTCAGGGGAGGGGGAAGGTATCTGGTGGATGCCTCCTGCGACGGTCTGGTCCCCGGTTGACAGCTGCGGTCGCCTCTTAAGATGCTCCAGGGATGCTCTGAGCTAAGGATGCAGGTGCAGCCAGACTGGTCCTGATGCGAGGTAGGCCCCGCCTTCCTCCGAACGGCCCTCGGCAGAAGACTCCGCCTCTGTCCGAAAAGTTCCGGAAGGCAAGCCCCGCCCCTTTCCGGAAGATCCCTGGGAGGGGACAGCTCCCGCTGCCAAATTTTCAAGAGAATGAGACCCCGCCTACTGATGGGCTTGTGGGTCTGTAAAGCGAAAACCCCGATACCTGACTAAGGAGAAGTTGTATGAGATCCTTTAGATCTTGTGATTCCGATTGCCCAGGCTTAATATAGCAGCAGAATGTTCTGGGCGACAGGGAGGTAGGATTTTGAAAAAATAAAATTATATATTGCCTGCTTTTCAGTATCAATTACCATTATTGTTTTGCATTTATGAGACCACTAAATATTATTATGGAAACTTTCTTAAACTTCAGAAGCTCTGATTGAAGACCAAACCTGGTGACGGTTGCACAACCCTGAAAGTTTACTGAAAATAATTGAATTGTATAAGTAAAACCTCTTTGGTGGCTCAGACGGTAAAGAATCTGCCTGCAACGCTGGAGACCCAGGGAAGAGCTGACTCATTGGAAAAGACCCTGATGCTGTTAAAGATTAAGGGCAAGAGGAGAAGGGGGCGACAGAGGATGAGATAGTTGATGGCATCACTGTCTCACTGGACATGAGTTTGAGCAAACTCAGAAAGATAGGGAAGGACAGAGAAGCCTGGCGTGCTGCAGTTCATGGGGTCGCAAAGAGTCGGACACGACTTAGCAACTGAAGAACAACAATAAGTAGGAGGGATTCTGTGATGTGTAAATTGAAGCTTTTTTTCTTTTAAAAACTAATGAAGGTTGCCAATAATTAATCGGTGTTGGATATTTCTCTTCTAAAAGCTTCAAATGCATAGAACAGCTTAGATGAGAGAGAGATAGCAAACCAACAGGTCTGTGTATTGTGTAGGTTCAAAAAGCAGGACACAAATGAAAAGCCAAGCTTCTAGAGATATCTTTGGAATGGAAGAGTTAGTGTGATTCACATTAGAGTCAGACTGCTGGCGGTTATCTCCATGATTACATCAACTTCACCATTTTGAGCTGTGGATCCTTTTATTTTGCAGATTCTGTTTACACACCAAATCAAGTCAAATAAATTACTTAAATATATAAATGTTGGTGGTTCACCTGTAAAGTGAGAGAGTTGAATGTACTTTTCTAGTTTTCACCTTCTGTCCTTCTAGGAAAGAGAAAAGAGAACATCAAAGCACATATATTGAATTTATTGGCCTTCGACTATGCCTCCCTGGACACCGGATTACTGCATTAGAAGCGAGAGTCAGGATACCTGATTCCATCTGATAGCTGTGTATCTTTGTAAAAATCATCTACCCAGCTGAGCCTAAAATGTGTCCTGTATAAACCGGAAGTTATAATAGCCATTGTCCCATAGAATTTATTGTAAAGATTAAAAAAAAAAAACACCACCTTTGATAACGTAAGTGAAATCATTTTGTAAGGAGTGTATTATACAGATAAGAATAATTACTATGGATTGAATTCAAGACTACCTTCACTTTATTCAGGAAACTGCACTATTCGTAACCCAGGATTTCTCTTTCTTAAATTTTATGAATTCTCCATATCCTTGGTTGCATATTCCAGGTGTCTTGCAGTGAGGACTCAACTTAAACTGCTGAACCTTAAACTCCCAGTGTTGTTTTGAGTAGGATAGCTCAGTGGACAGAGAAAGCAAGCTAGTGCCTTTAAATAGTTTTGCCAACAACGGAAGTACTCGCGCTTTGGCTTCATTGTGCCCTAAAATAGAATGGCGCCTGGGCTGGGAGCCTGCTCCTTGACACCCCGACGCGGCGCACCGCGACCCGGGGACGCGTTAGTAAGTGGCTGCCGTTGTCTGACTTCCGGTGATAAGGGAGCTGAGCTTCCGCGGGAGCGGGCCGGCTGGTGAGGGTGCGGGCTGCGTCCTGTAGGGCGGGAAGAGGCAGTGTGGAGCGGACGTCCGGGCGAAGGACGTTCAGCCTGAGGCGGTCGGGTCTGAGGGCTGGTGCGCGGTGCGTGACAGACGCTGGGGAGTGAAGACGTCTAGCTGGGAGTGGGGACTGAGTCAGCGCTAGGCGCTGAGGTGAAAAGCGCAGTTTGTACCCCTGTGTGAAATGTTTGCCCAGGAGGGGTTCGCGCTGGGGCTGCCTCCGTGTTTGCTTTCATTCACCCTATTGGTTTGACTGCCGTTCCCGAAGAGGGGGCCTCTTTAAACCTCTTTTGTGTTTGAAGTGCCTGAGCTGATCCCTGCAGGCTCCTGACTGAATTGTAGCTGCCTTTCTTCTTTTCATCCCCCGCCCCCCCCAACCCAGCCCCGCCTTTTTGGACCTCAGTGATTTATCTGCAATATGACTTGCCTAAACTAATGCCACGATCCTTAATTCTCCCTTACCATTCCCTTATCAGAGGAGTCTTTACTTGTTAATTCAACTGTGATTATCAAGATATGGACAAAAGTTCATTTGGTCTGGGCTGGGGAATCTCTCCCGGTGTCCTGGACAAACGGAATTAAAGCAGTTTAAAACTAACCTTATAGTTCAAGCTCTTAGAGAGCACTTTTATGTTGCCGTCCTCTAGTCCAGGTTTTCATCTAGTGCCTCTATAGATGGGCATTCAGGTCTTACTTGAACATTGTTAGTGATGAAGAACTCACTGTAACACAAGGCAGCATGTTCTATTCTTGGACCTATCTTATTGAGAATGAAGTTTTTTGGGGTAGTTTTCACATAATGCTCTTGGTCCAACCTGCATAGAGTATGCACAAAACAGGAAGTTCACACACTAATTCAGGGGACGGTAGTTACTGATTGTCTCCAATAGGGCAGATATTGCCGAGTACTAGGGGTACTCATGGAAAGAATCTTTTCCCTCAAAAAGCACATAGTTTGTGGGGGGCTGGTGGGAAAGAGCCAAGAAGCAATCATAAAAGTGGTACGTACAAAAAAAGAGGTTTGCAAATAGATGCTATAAGAACATATGAGAAGATAACCTCCACTTTGGGTTAGTGTTGCCATTAAAGTGTGATAATTGGAATTGAAGTCAGCTGTTCAGAAATAACATAGTATACACAAAACTTAGGAATCTCTCTTGTTTTCAATTTTTGTTAATATAGTCTAACCTTTTTAAACAACCACACTTTGCTTTTGGATTCTTTTTGTTAAGGGAAATACCTGTTTATAAAAGCAACAATGGCAAGCATTTATTGATCTAATAAATTACTATTTAATGACGGAAGTGCTATTTTTATTTCATTTTATAGCTGAAGAAATGAAATTCAGGGAAAGTAACTTATGCAAGGTCACAAAGCTTACTTGGGAAACGAATCCAGATGGTTTGACTCCACAGTTTGCTCTCAACATCACGCTATTCTACCTCCCTGATGGTAATAGTAATAGCTAACACTTACTAATCATTTACTATTTAATTCTTATAACAACTCCATAAGGTTAGACAAATTATTATCTTTTATAGTTGAGGAAACCAGAATTTGGATAGGTGAAGTCACTCAGGCAAGATAACACACTGATCAGTAATAGAGTTAGGATTTGAACTCAGGCATTCTGTCTCTCACTTCCCACCTAATGGGAGATTGCATTTGGTGTAAAGTACAGTGTTCATGTTTGAAATTGAATAAGTAAAAGTATATCTGAGGAAATTTATTACCATTAATTAATAGGAAGGTGATAAGAGCTTGCCTTTATTCTTTCAGGATGGAACAAAAGTGGGACTTGGAAAATGTTGCCCTGTAAGAAGAGAACTATATTGACAGAGTCCCCACAACATCAGGGCAGCCAGGAGGAAGATGACTTAGACCTTCAGTCAGCTGTTAAACCAGAATCTGACCAAGTTAAAGACCTGGGGTCAGTGTCCCTGTCCTGGAGTCCAAGTCACGGCAGAGCAGCTGACCTTGACGTGCAGGATGCCGGAATTCAGCTTGGTATGGAGGACCCATCTTTGAGCTCTAGGATGCTCACCGACAACACAAATGTTGCAGTTCTGGAAGCTGTGGATGTGGCCGTCTCTCAGGAAATCACCCTACCTTCCTTGGAGTCTTCTCAGCCTGTAAATACACACATTGGTAAAGGAAAACTTCAGGCCACTAGCTCAAGGAGAGGGAAGAAAATTACGCTCAGACCTGGGTCAGTTACTCAAGAAGACAGAGGCGATCATCCTATCGCAAAGGAGCCTTTTTCAGAAAAGCCTAGTGAAGAAGTCAAGGAAGAAGGAGGTAAGACATGGAAGATCTTTGGCTTACATTTACCTTGTTAGTACCAGCTTGTCATTGCACTCCCTGCAGTGCCTTTACAAAATAGCATTTCTGAAAGGGGATGCTGGTTGGGTTTGGAATTGGAGCCTTATCTTTGTAAGGGTCAGCAATGAACATTATGAATGGGTAGAAACTTTCTTCTCCCCTCCATTTCCTTGATCATCTTCCGTATTCTTTCCTTTTTTTTTTTTTTTTAAGGTTTCTTTATTTGTTTGGCTGTGGTGTGTCTTTGTTGCTGCACACGGGCTTTCTCTAGTTGCAGAGAGTGGGGGCTATTCTCGTTGTCATGTGCAGGCTTCTCACTGCCGTGGCTTCTCTTACTGTGGAGCACGGGCTCTAGGTGTAGTCAGTAGTTGTAGCACACAGGCTTAGTTGCCACGTGGCTTGAGGGATCTTCCTAGAGAAGGGATCAGGAACCAGTGTCCCTTGCATTGCAAAGTGGATTCTTAACCACTGGACCACCAGAGAGGCCCTCTTTCCTTCCTTTTTATCTTTTCATCATTTCTGTAGGGATGAACTATGTATGGCCTATTGATATTTGGTGGCTGTTTATGAAGTGGGCCTTGAGGAGGGGCAGCAGCTATAAGGGAGAGACGACTGCCTATGGCATTTGGTAAGGCTCTCCAGAGATGCCATAACCCTTAGGCCCTGAAGGATGAATTGTGATTTGATGGAATGGTGGCATGGAGTTTTCTTAGCTGAAGAACAGTCTGAGCAGAGGCAGGAGAGGTGGTGAAAGATGACTTCAGAGTGTTAGAGTGTGTTTAGATTGTGATGGGCTTTGTTTTTTATGCTTGAATGTTTGAACTTTTCCTGAAGGTTATAGCTCACTAATAAATAAAAGAAGCAGAAGGCATACTTCTGACCTCAGAATGTTTATAATCTAGTTGGGAAGAGAAGACACAAGCACCTAATTCATTTGGTGCAGTTTAAGACAATATGTGATTGAATGGAAGTGAGGTACAGGTAATTAGGATTTTTGAAACTGGATCTTGGTGGATTGATAGAATTTGATGGTTTAGGGTAAAGGAGTGGAAATAGAATAGCATTTTCTACAAACACGTAAAAGTGCTGTGTTTGTATGGGAGCATAACACGGTTTCAAATAGAAAGGATAAATTCAGATTACTATACAGAGTCATCCTGTTATGCCTTTGAGACCTTGTAAAGTATTGATGTAGGATGTTGGTGGTAAGGATAGAGAAGAAAGGGTGTGTCTTAGAGACATTAGAAAGAAAGAACTAATGTTACTCAGAGACTGATAACATTTAGTTTATCTGGGTTGGGGGATGGTGAAGCATGCCTTCGTGGGGAGGTATTTGAGGGGTTAAAATGAGTTCAGCTTTAGATATTCGGAGTGTGAGGTGACATTGGGGCCATCAAGGAAAAATAGAAAACTGAGATTGAAGTATGATAAGAGGTAGAACTAAAAAAGTTTTGATTGTGGTTCTTCTCATGGAAAGGAACATGGCAGAAGATGATAGAGAAGGGTAAACTTGAGAAGTATCAATAATAGTGAAAGTCAAGGAGGCAGGAGAGTTTTAAGTGCAGGTGCTTTATATAAAACTTAGTGACAAAAAAAAAAAACAACTTAGTGACAAAGGAGATACATTGATACCTGAGAAAAATGTTACATTTAAAGGTTGATCTTTGAGAGTAGATTTAGGAGAGATTTTGGGAAAAGGAAATCAAATGATGAAATTAAAGAGGGAAGGATGAAAGTCCCAGTGATAATTTGTGCAGTGGAGTGAAAATGGAAATAGCTAGTCTTGCAACCGCATGACTTAAATTTTCTCCTTGGCTGTGGTGTGTTTGTGACATGAAGACCAGAAGGAATGCAGAAAATGCAGAATTAGAGTGCTAGAGACGGAATGTGAAACTAAGTAGGGGTTCAAGGGGGTTTAATTGTCAGTTACTATACAAGAATAGATAAATGAAATAAAAAATATCAAATGTAGATAAAATAAACATGTTTGTTTTAGTATTATCAGTAATACTACTACCCCTCATTAATCTGGATAATTGAAAGTTGATTCTCCCACCTTGTAATACTTCTGTTAGCTGTATGTACAAGTAATACCACCATCTCAGTGGCTCTGTGGTAAAGAAAATCTGCCTGCCAGTGCAGGAGATGTGGATTCGGACCGTGGGTCAGAAAGATCTCCTGGAGAAGGACATGGCAACCCACTCCAGTATTTTTGCCTGGGAAATTCCATGGACAGAGGAGCCTGGTAGGCTGCAATCCATGGGGTTGCAAAAGAGGTGGACACAGCTTAGTGATTAAGCAAATAATACCAGTCAAAGAAGTACATCTGGACTCCCTTTTACCACAACCCCGTCCCTCCCCCCCCACAAGTAACATTTTTTGGTCAAATAGACATGTCACATAAAAAGCAGGAAGGAAGAAAGAAGAAAGATTGAAAATTCATATATGTGCATTTTGGAAAATATTGAAAAGTTGAAAGAAAAAAATAAAAATCACTCATAATTTTACTACTCAGAGTGAAAGTGAAAGTTGCTCAGTCATGTCTGACTCTTTGCAACCCCATGGATAGTCCATGGAATTCTCCAGGCTAGAAATACTGGAGTGGGTAGCTGTTTCCTTCTCCAGGGGATCTTCCCAACCCAGGGATCAAACCCAGGTCTCTCGCATTGCAAGCAGATTCTTTCCCAGCTGAACCATCAGGGAAGCCCAAGAATACTGGAGTGGGTAGCCTATCCCTTCTCCAGGGATCTTCCCAACCCAGGAATCAAACTGGTGTCTCCTGCATTAGCGGGTGAATTCTTTACCAACTGAGCTACCAGGGAAGCCCCAGTAATTGCTGTTATAATTTAGTGCCTATTCTTTTTGTTGTTTTGCTTTTGTTTAAGTAACATTTTGGTTTTTTGATTATGATTATGTGGGGAAAAAAGCAGAAAAACATCTAGGTTATTCTGAAGTATCAGCATTGTGTTACAATCGATATACACTGTTAAATTATGTTTCTAGGCTGCAGGTGTTAGTGACTGAACCTTTCTCTGGATTGGTGTTTATTCTCAGAGAATTTTAATTGTTCTTTTAAAATTGGTTTACATACCCTAATTTCTCCTTGAGTCTTTTTTTCTCCTTTCTTTGCCTTCTAAAAATGATTAACTTAGGTAGATTTCAGCTTACAGTCAGTTGGTTTTTACAGTTTTCAGCTAATTATTTTCATGTTACCAATTCAAAGCTGTTAGGCTAGCAGTAAACAAATTACTTCTTGGATTGATCCCTTGATCATTATGTAGTGTCTTTCCTTATCTCTTGTAATATTCTTTATTTTAAGATCTCTCTATGAGAATTATTATGGAATGTCTTTTTCCACCCTCTCGCATTCAGTCTATATGTGTCTCTAGGCCTGAGGAGTGTCTCTTGTAGACAGCATATATATAGGTCTTGTTCCTGTGTCCACTCAAGAGCCTGTGTCTTTTGGTTGGCACGTTTTATCCATTTTCCTTTAAAGCAATTATTGATATATATGTTCCTATTGACATTTTCTTAATTGTTTTGGATTTGTTTTTGTAGGTCTTTTCCTTCTCTTGTGTTTCCTGTCTATAGTAGTCCCTTTAACATTTGTTGTAAAGCTGGTTTGGCGGTGCTAATTCTCTTTTAACTTTTACTTGTCTGTAAAGCTTTTGACTTCTCCATCAATATTGAATGAGATCCTTGCCAGGTAGGGTAATCTTGGTTGTAGGTTTTTCACATTCAGTACTTCAAATATAGCCTGCCATTCCCTTCTGGCCTGCAGAGTTTCTGCTGAGAGATCAGCTGTTAATCGTATGGGGTTTCCCTTGTGTGTTGTTGTTGTTCAGTTGCTAAGTCGTGTCCGACTGTTTGTGACCCCACAGACTGCAGCATGTCAGGCTTCCCTGACCTTCACTATCTCCTGGAGTTTACTCAAACTCATGTCCATTTAGTAGGTGATGCCATCCAACCATTTCATCCTCTGTCTCCCCCTTTTCCTCCTGCCGTCAATCTTTCCCAGCATCAGGGTCTTTTCCAATGTGGCCAAAGTATTGCAGCTTCAGCTTCAGCATCTGTTCTTCCAATGAATATTCAGGATTGATTTCCCTCGGGATTGACTAGTTTGATCTCCTTGCTGTCCAAGGGTCTCCAAGAGTCTTAAGCACCACCATTCAAAAGCATCAGTTCTTTGGTCTCAGCTTTCTTCATGGTCCAACTTTCACATCCATACATGACTACTGAAAAAACCATAGCTTTAACTATACAGACCTTTGTTGGCAAAGTAATGTCTCTGCTTTTTAATATGATTTCTAGGTTTGTCATCGCTTTTCTTCCAAGGAGCATCTTTTAATTTCATGGCTGCAGTCACCATCTGCAGTGATTTTGGAGCCCATGAAAATAAAATCTGTCACTATTTCCACATTTTCCCCATCTATTTGCCATGAAGTGATGGAACTGGATGCCATGATCTTCGTTTTTTGAATGTTGAGTTTTAAGCCAGGCTTTTTCACTCTTCTTTCACCCTTACCAAGAGGCCGTTTAGTTCCTCTGCTTTCTGCCATTTCTGGCATTATCTGCATATCTGAGGTTGTTGATCTTTTCTCCCAGCAGTCTTGGTTTCAGTTTGTGAGTTATCCAGCTAAGCGTTTCACATGATATACTCTGCCTGTATGTTAAATAAGCAGGGTGACAATATACAGCCTTGATGAACTCCTTCTCCAATTTATTTATTGCTTTTCACTTGCTGCTTTTAATATTTTTCTTTGTTTTTATTTTTTGTTAGTTTGATTAGTATGTGTCTTGGCATGTTTCTCCTTGGGTTTATCGTAAATGAGATTCTCTGTGCTTCTTGGACTTGATTGACTATTCTTGACCATGTTAGGAAAGTTTTCAACTATAATCTCTTCAAAAAATTTCTCAGACCCTTTTTCTCCTCTTCTTCTGGGACCTCTATAATTCCAATGTTGTTGTGTTTAGTA